AATTGCACAAACCTGTGAAAGAAGTATTCCTCCTTCCAATGCGCACAATGTTGTATTGCCATCTTTTATGGTAGGTGATCCAAGATAGACCTGCTTGCTCACACTGATATGACTAACAAAGTTGAATACATTTTCAGCACGAATATATCCTCTATCAGAAAGTAGCATATAGTAGTCATACCAAGATCCAAATTCTTTGATCATATACTTCAGGGTATTGAAAGGCAAATATTGTTTATAACCATCATTAAAGTTCACCAGCAACATTCCATTGGGTACAATAGAAGATTTTCTATCAACAAAAAAAGCAACTTTAGCTTTATAATGCCCTATACTTTTATTGATTGCAACACCCAAGGTATTGAGACTTTGTTCTGATGATAGCACAGCAATAAACAGTTTCTCTCTAATATTTAGTTCTGTAGCAGCAAAAATTGGTCGATTACGTTTTTTTAAAAAAGGTTCAGCACCTGTATGGTTAACATATTGGAGCACATATGGTTCAAAATTTTCAGTATTTTGTTCTTCTTCACTAATATTTGCTAAAAGTTTTTTACATTCATCTGGTTCATAATAGTCAAAAAACCAAGTAACTATTGTACCCAACAAAAACCCAGCCATGAAAACCCTAAGAAAAGTCTTTCTTTTCCAAAGGTATCTTATTGTTTTTCTAGACAATCTTGTCAACCTCATTGCTTTCCAACTTCAATTGATTTACACTTTGTTTCCAGTGAATGGCAATGTCATTCTTTTGAACATTTCAAAAAAAAAGGATGTTAAAATATTTCAATATCCCTTAACCTGAAGAAGAGAGAAAAGAATATTTAAAAAATAGATTTTAATTTTGTAGGCTTATTTATTTAGAATGAAAAACCAAAATAAATTATAAAAATGTTTCAACAACTACATTGCACAACCACAAAAAGCATCAAATAAATTTTGGCTTAAATTTTAAACAGCTATTTAGCTTTTTAGATCTAGTTATTAGGAGGCCTACTGCATAAGGCTATAAATAAACATTTTTGCACTGAAATTTGATGCCGAAGTTTTGCAAGTCAAACAAAAACATAAATGATAGTTTAGAGACCTTACATGATTTTAAACATATGTGGGTCTATTTTTAAATGTTACAATGAAAAGCTTACATATATTTCAAAAAAATTAAAATACTTTTTAGGCCTAAATAAAGACATCAATATATTTTTAAAAATCGGTAAGATCTTTTAATATAAATAAGCCATAAGTTTTAAGTCTCTAATTAACAACTAAAATTTGATCTAAAGATAAGGATAACACATGTACCTAAATGATAATTTCATTTTCAAGACGGATCTGTATCTTTTATAGATTCTGGAGTCTAGATTAGATTCTAGGCTAAAAAGATATGTAGGAAGTTTGAATCTGTCGTACAAAAGGGTTCTATATTATTTATAAATATAGATCTAGATTAGATGAATAGTCTGAAGTCTGAACAGATCTAGATTAGATTTAGATTACGTTTTTTAATTGAGAGTACACCAAACTATATTATATAGACCTAATTATATGAAATATATGTGGATCTATAGGCCTATTGACTTATTGTAAACGCATTATAAGTTAGTCTAGATCTAGCTATTTACAACTAGAAACCTTACAACATTTAAATAGTTAGATACTTGAATGTCTTGATACATTCCAGATGCCATGTTGGTCATTAACGAGTAGACTAGTAGTACTGCAAGTAGTAGATATCTAGTGTCTAGTCTAAGATTTTATTTATGAAACCTTCAAACTTCATGGGTAGATATAAATATATAGATCTACTTATAGTTATCTAGAGATCTAGATACTCTACGTAAAAGTTATAAGTAGGCCAAAGAATGTAAAAAAAAACAAAAAAAAAACCAAGATACGCTTAAGGTTCGATGCAGCAAAGGTACGATTATTAGAATATTGGGGCCTACTAGTAAATGCTCTGCCAGTTTAATGTTTGAAGTAGGCCTAGACATCTATACCCCCTCCCTTTCTTTCAACCATTTAGGTCTAGTTTCCAACTCTTATAAAGAGTTGTTTTTTTTTATTTTTTTTAGGAAAACCAAAGATCTTATAACCTAGACAGAGAGAGGAGAGGTTTATACATTGACAACACTGTAGTCTGTTTACACTTAGACTCCATGTTTCTCTTTCTTATGCATGCATTGTTGTCTGATTGAAGCAGGAAGTTTTTGCGCAGTAGTCTTTCTGGTGCCCCTGTTATCTTACGTTAGCTCGCCCATAATTTAGGGGAGGGGAGGGGGGGGGGGAATTAATATTGTGATCTTAGGTAGGAAAATGACCTATCCTAGTTTGCAACATGTAGCTTATTCATGAAATAATAAAAACATTTATTAAACTTTGTTTTTAAAAAAAGGAGGTGGGATATATAGATATACTACAGTATTGTGTAGTGAAAAAAAAAGTTCATTAGCCTATTTAAAGTTTTGTTTTTAAAATTATCTTCAGAACTTCTAGCCCAAAAACGGTTCGAGACAAATTGATAGGTTTACCCAGATTCGACAGTAGCCTACTCAGTAGGGCCTACACTTATAGATGCATTTCTTTTAAGTTTTAAGTCTTATTAACCATGTACCTCATCTGAAATTGTCTAGTAGTGTTGTGAGTCGCACTTGGAACACTAAGGCCAGCAAAAGCGAACAAAAGCTCCCTTTCACCAGCCTGTCCGACGGGGGGTGAGACTCGGGGTTAAACTTTGGTTTTGCGTTCACAACCAATGGACACGGACACTTCGGTCTCGTAGACTAGAGACCACTGGGATCCCCGTCGTATTCATATACTATACCAGGCTAACTGTGCGGGACACGCCATTTATGTAACGGCCCCTTGAGGGACGGCGCCTGGATGTTGACAGATCGCTGCGGGAGCTTTTTTTTTACATCCCCGCACAGTGCAATGAGGATGCTCTCGCACCCCTTTAGGCACTCCCGTGGGAACCTTGTTTCGCTGCCCATTTGGCATAGTCGTCCCCTCCTACGTCTGTTTCCACCCGGGCGCCACGATGAGGCAGGGCAGCAAACCCTGGCCATGTACCTCATGCTCAGTACATAGTAACGTGGTGCTGTTTGGGTCGTCAAGGCACCAAGTGAAATCAATCATTTCTGGGTCGTCAAGGCACCAAGTGAAATCAATCATTTCTGGGCCGTCAAGGCACCAAGTGAAATCAATTATTTCTGGGTCGTCAAGGCACCAAGTGAAATCAATCATTTCTGTGTCGTCAAGGCACCAAGTGAAATCAATCATTTCCAGCCCATTCGCTTGAATTTAAAAACAAAAACAAACGTGAAGGCACTTAGGCAGTTATTATCTGGAGGAGGGGTACTTACCAATGGTGACTTCTATAATATTCTTAAATATTCATCTTAGGAGTCAGACAATGGTGAATATCTGTCCTATCTCATTTGTTTATTTGCATTCCATTCTATTGAACCTTAAAGATATGGTGAAGATTACAAAATGGCTTTAAAAAAACATTGAAAAAAAAAAAAGAGGGAGGGGGGGGGGGGGACATATTTATTGAGGACTTTGACTCCAGACATATTATGCTAAACAAATCAAAGGCTTTCTTAGGATTTATAAGCAAAGTGAAATCTGTCTCACTGCATGTTTGCATAGTTCATTAACCTGGAGACTATTTTTTATAGTTCAACTTTGAGAATTTCTGGAGTAATTTTGTCAGGTAGTGAACATTTATACAAAGTTAGACAAAATATTTAGTTCTTCCAAAAGCAGCAGGTCTGGAATGGCATCTACAATATTTATGGCATAAGTTTATAGTCTGAAAATGTCATGTTAGTTTGAATCAAAAGGCAAACAAATAAACTCAAAGCACTAATTGATTATTGGTTAATTGATTAATTCATGTAATGTCTTTGATTATGAATAACTGTGCAAAATTTCAACTTGATCTGAGAATGAGAAGTGGGACAAAGTGACTTGATATAAGCTTTGTAAAATTAGATTTTCCCTATTAAAACAATGAGTTTTTAATGTGATTATTTCTTTTGTGAAAAAAAAAATATTTTTTCCTTGGTCCCACACTTCTTTATTTATTATGATCAGAAATAACTATATAAAATTGTGTTGATTTAACAAAAAGAAGAAACATTTTAAAATTTTCAAATTATCATTACATTTAGTTTTATAGTACCATACTATTTCTAAGTTTGGATTTCTTTGGTTAATAAAGAATAGAATTTTTATTATAACATTTTAAATTTATATAAAACAATTTCATACTTCATTACTGAATTCTACAAAATGCAATTTAATACAACAAATTGATATTTTCTAACAACACAGTGTTAAGTAGTATCAGTATACTATTAATTAATAAACACTAAATAATTCAATAACTGTTTAATATCTGTTCAAGCCGTTTCTTTTTCTTTTCTGAAACTTTACACAAAGAGAGAGTATTTTTTTAGAAAATGTATACCTGACACTTATGATTAATTGCCATGATTTTTTTTTTATTTTGAAAAAACAATTAAAACATTTTAAAAAGTAAGCATTTATTTAACATCAATATCAATGGATTTGAAAAAAAAAAAAGATACTTTAGTTGTTTCAAAACTTTTTTGTAGCATCTCACTTTTAAGTCTTACTTTTATCTAAATAAGTTATAGGCAATGCTTAAAAAAAAAAGTATTTAAATGTATACATAATAATCAAAAGTTATTCTATGCTACAATAATACAATTCATCATAATCACATATCACAAGTTGACATTATTAACAATAAAAGCTATATTTTTTAAATACAATAAGATTTGTTCAGAAAGAGAGATAATTCTTGTACAATGTGATCAAAACAGATGTAATTTAAAGTAATCAATTGAAAAATTAAAGCAAAAGCTACTTAAAACTGAAACTAAAAATGTGTACATTCTCATTTGTTAGGCCAAAGATACAAAAATAATAATTTCATTTTATTTTTATTTTTTACATAAATGAAATATATAAATACCAGGGTGCATAAGATAGAAACAAGATTAAAAGCTAGCTATAAAAATAGTTATAAAATCATTATAAGTATAATATCAGTAATAATAAAAGGTAAGGCACCAACTGATTGAAACATTGTGATTACCAATAGCTATTTATGTATGTATTTATTCAAATTCATTATAGTCTTTACCCTTGCAGAAAGACAACCCCCAACAACCCTGCAATAACCTACACACTGTTTCTGAAAAACCGTTTCATGTCTTGTCTCTAGCCTCCGTTTCATGTCTTGTCTCTAGCCTGAGTGTCCTAGGATATGGTCCTTTGGAAAAAAAAGGTGTAATGAATGGAACTCTTTCAGACAGAATAATTGTTCATACAGGCCCATTGAGAGAACAGTGGCGTAGCTAGGAGAGGGAGGTCCAAGCCCCTACTTGAAGGGGGCCCCCTAATGAGTGTCTGAATAATTGTTCTTGTTTGTAGGATGAAATACAGGTAAATCACTTATTCAATGTCTTCAATGCACCAGCACTTTTCTTCAACAAACTAGTACCACCAATTGAAATATTTAGGAAGCTGGCCTCATTTGATAATGATGCATGCTCAAACCTTGCAACTTCCATTTGAATAATGCTAACTCAGGCCACTTTCATTGCATCATGTGAGAGTTCATCCTCAAAACTCGTTTTCAAAAACTATCTCAGGAGCAAAATGACGCAAGAAAGACTTAGCAGCATGGCTCTCTCAAAAATAGTAGACAGCATTGATCTAAATGTCATAGATGATCTTTGCTGTACAGAAAGCATGATGTGAGGCCATATGAATTGAGATTTGTCACTTGTGGATTATTTCGCCAATAAACAATACTATTATTTTTTTTTTAAATTTATTAAGTATATTATCTCATGTCATGATGTTGAATGTCAAAATGTAGGGGCCCCCAAATCCCTAACTACACCACTGGGAGAGGAATTTTATAGCCCTAGAGTTTCTAGAGACCAAGTTTCAACTATAATCATCATCATCATCATCAAACTCCATTTGGGTGAGGGCTTGAGAGGCTTAAATCCTCTCTTGCAAAAGCCGTGGACAGAAACCCTGCTGTCTCCCGTAGTGCATATATGTCACCATACAGGTCAAGAATTTTTGGTTTCCCAGACCTGTCAAGGCAGAGATCAGCAAGTCTGGGGCACTCAAACAGAATATGTGGCACGGTTTCCTTTTCTTCCCCGCAGCGGGGGCATAGTGAATTCAAATTTGGCCATAGCTGTGAGAAATATGAGCCAACAGGACAGTGGCCTGTCCTGCACTGTGCTATTATAGCTTGCTCAGGCCTGGACAGCCTCCAACACGGCAACTATAATGACAATTTAAAATCTATGATTTATCAAACATCTTGCTAAAATCTGCCATACATCACAAAACCAATGATTGTATACATTTATTAACTAAAAAAAATCATTTAACCATTGATTTTATTATATGGTATACAATAGTGATAAGTTTTAATCTTTACTGGCTACCCTTGTAAAAGGAAAATTAATATATATTTACAATTTTCAGTTGTGAACATCCTACAGATCAAGTAATAAACAAATTCAAGTAAAATATGACACCACTTCTTATTAGGCATCCTTCAAACCAGAAATAATATCCACAATGGTTATCATCCCTCTAAGCATTCTCAAACTATATCTGATTGTTAAAACTTTTGTTCATCTGGCAGAATTGTCTTTTAAAATGTGTGCAACTTAGTTCTAACATCATGGTGCATATCCAAAACATGTTGGTGTGTTTAATATTATGTGATTTAAGTACTTGCAAATGTTTCTTTAAAGTCATCTAAATAGTCTTGGCATAGGCTAATAGTTTGTTGTAAGATAACATAAACATACAAAATAATTGCAACACTGCCTCTATAGTTACTCTACAGCAAAAAGAGATTTTAGATATTAGAAATAAAAATGAGCATTATATATATGGTACTTTCAAATTTAAGGTGGTGATAAAAGTATAACAGATAATAGGACAAAATTCGATTTGGCAATGACAACAATAGCATTTAGCAAAACAAAATCAAGATCAACAATCTTTTTACAATAATTAAAAAGTTCAAAAGGACAAAATAAATTGCTCAACAATAAATACAACTTCATGTGTGGGTCAAATATATTTTAATATTTGGCTGTAAATAATGTGGATTTATTTAAGTTTAGATTTTTAGATATTTAAGTTCACAGACTTTTTATACTATAGATGCTCTATTGTATAAAAATAATAAAAATATACAACCTAATCAATACTGTTGTCCCAGCAGGTTAAGACAGTTTTATGGCATTGTGCTAAATCTCTTGTACGATTTCTCATAAAATGTAGTCTTCCTATCATGACAGCTAAATGTTGGTAGTCCAACATGGAGTTGGCAATCCATAAAGTGTGGGGCACTGCTTTACTTTGTCAGAAGCCAATTGGATGAGGGATAACACTAACTAACCCTATCCAGAAAAGTCTCAATAATAGTACATAATTCTGACCTTTGATCTCTGTGAAAAAAAGCCTTCCCAGACGTCTGAAGCTTAAAGATCCTGGGCTAAAATTCAGACTCTGTAAAGACTTCACTAAGGTGTCAGATTCATTCTTTAAGACAAATGTGTGCCATTATATGTTTAAAACAAAACATCACAGATATCAGCAGTTTTTGTTTGGCTTATTCATAAATATATATTTCTTTTTTTTTTTCTTTAAACAATTATTTCAATGAAAACCACAACATGACATAAAAATGTGACCAACACATTTGTTATGGTTATGTGATACAGTTTTGCCTCTTTCTATGTGCCCACATAAATATTATGTGATATTTGTCATTCTCAATCATTTCTGGTTCACATATAAGAAGAATTGTACAAATATTTGAGATATAATCTGGTCTAGCATTACACTTTATTTTTACAGAAGTATATTTAAAAAATCATGACAAATAATGCAATAATTAAAGTAAGAGCAGTGGGTTACTTTTTTTTGTGTCACACCATAGCTATAAATTATGACAACAGAAATGCATGAAAGCAACTTTCCACCTTAAAGAGAAAAATGTCATTTCTTAAACCATACTAAAATAGGTTTTGTTTAGGCTATATTTTTTTTAGGTTTTGTTTAGGCTATATTTTTTTTTTAAGTATCAATGATGTTCTTTATGTCTGATTAACTGAATCATTAAAACCTATTTAGATATAGATATATTATTATTGTGCAGTGGATAATATAAAGCATTTCAAGTAAAACAAAGTTAATCTTTACCAGCTATAGCTTTTATCACTTAGTTGTTAATCATAAAAGTATGGTTATATAATGGAATATATTTAATACAAAACAAAATGAGACTATGGCATGTGTTAATAAATAACCTGGTTCTATCAATAAACAAAAAGAACAATTATTCTTTATTTACATTTTGTGTTGAATGTTGCATTTCTCTTTTAGCTTGATATTGGAAAATCCTTTTGGCTAATTGTGCTCGGGTTGCTAAGTTCATTGATTTTCTTTCTAGACATCTCTCATAAAGTTTAGATGGAATGTTAACTGGACAATCTAACTGCATGTAATAATGTTTAAATTCTGGTTCAACTGCTCTAAAGACATGAACCTTGCCATATCTGACAAACATCTCATATAAATCATATTTCATTAATTCCTCTATAGAAAATGACCTCCTGGCATCTTTGTAATCAGAATTGTAGAAACTGCCATGCTCATAGGACAAAACATCATAATGTCCAGTTCTACTACTGAATTCAATATCTGTTGGATATGGCTTTTTGTCGTAGATAATATTTGGCTTGTATTGCCAGAAACCGATTGGAAAAAATACTTGCCAGCCTGGAATGGTGTTGATACGAACTCGATTTAGCATTTCAGCATTTAGCAACATGCCTACTGTACAAGTCAGAATTAGGGCATCAGGGTCAAGCAAGTCACTTACCTGTGGATAATTTAATAAAACCACTATAGAAAAGATATTATGAAAATGGTTGGTGTGAATTTATGAAATAGAGAAAAAAAAGGACAGAATTTTTTTTAAATACATGAATAGTCTATAAAGTTAATAAACAAAATAGGATCACCTTTAAATAAAAAAAGGATAAAAATTACTGGAAAAAAAAAACCCACACACACAAACAAAATTGAAACCAAAATATCTTTACCGTGTCAATGATTTTGAATTCTGGGACATAAGTTCCATTGTTAGCAAAGTTAATCATTCTTGTCTTCACACCATCTTCACTTTTATCATCATAATAAGTTACCATTGACTTCAAGACTGAGAAAACATCCTCTTCACCAGTCTTAGGAACTTGTGGGTACACAAAAACTATGATGAGAGCTAAACTGTCTGCCGACTCAGCCTGACATGAAGCAATCAATAAATGTATGATAATGATAAATTAATGATGAACATAAAATCAAAGGAACATCAAACCATTTTTTAGCCACTAATTGCATGTATGTGAAAAAAAAAAACTTGATTTAAGAAACTGCTTTAAAAAAAATTTACTATAAATATTAACTGCTACCATTAGCCAATTCTCATTTAGAGAAAAAAAAATGTGAACACTAAGGTGAACTTGTTATGAAGTAGTTAACTTTCTCGTTTTTGTTGTTGTCATTGTTTATTTTCTTCTAATGGTGCATTTTGTCATAAAGCCTTTTGAATGTTTAAGAAAATATTTCCAATTTGAAATCTTAAAATAACTACAGATAAAACACTATGAAGACAATCATACCTGTAATCGAGCATATGTTTCTAGAAATACTCCCCATCCATCCATTTCATTGGGAGTAATTGATAAAATAATATTCAGCCTTGTAGACTCTGTTACATATGGCATAGGAACAACCTCCACCTTGAAAAAAAAATGTAATATATAACATACAAAATTAATTTTGTTCACCTTCCCATTAAAGAAGAGAAATAATTTCAATTATTTATTGAAATAACTGGTCTTACTTTACAACATGCATTGAAGATTTTTAAAATTATTATTTAAAATTTTTTTAAAGACATTTCAGAACTTGTAATTAATTCATTTATAATAAGGCCTTGTCTTTGACTCTAAAGATAAAGAAAGAGTGCAGTATTATATTTATATATATATTTACCTCTCCAAGAGGCCTCACAAGAAAAACACGTTTCTCTATAATCCTTTTGTTGTAGTTATTTTTGTTATTTTCTTCTGGGGGGATGGACGTGTCCTCTAAAGCTAAGTCCAGTAAAT